AATCCTGTTGATCGGGGATGATAAAAATGGAGGGGGGAGGGGGGGGGGGCTTTATTATCGCCCGTGGTCGGTTATGATGTTCGGCCTCTGGGGCCATTTTGGAAGGGCCTCCGGAGGCGCTCTTGTGGCGTTTTGGCGGCGTCGTCGGCCGTCCTGGGGCCATCTTCGGCGTGTCCGGGACCTCTTGGGGCTGTCTCGCAATCTTTAAGGCCCTCTTGGCGTGTCGCGGCGTGTTTGGGAGCGGGCCCAGGCAGTCCCAAGATCCCTGGGACCCTTCCAATCCGCCCAGGGGGGGGTACGGCACCAGCCGGGACCCCCCCCCGGGCCTACTCCGATATATATATATATATATATATATATATATATATATATATCAGAGAGAGAGAGAGATACTAGAACCATCGCGCGCGCTTCGTTCGCGCTCAGGTTCTGGCAGGCCCCGGGCCTTGACGAATTCATTGCTCCACTGAAGTCGTGGACCACAGTCCATGCATGCCAATCTGTATTCCGAAAGTCCGTCGACAAAAATGGTTGTGTAGGGGGGCGGAGGCCGTGTGAATCGGGTTCCCAGAAGGCCTTCTGGGAGCATGGGTTTGGGGGGCGTCTTGGGGAGCCTGTTGGGCGCGCCGTCGCCGTCGTCGTCGTCGTAATGTTGTCGTCGCCTATTGGGGCGGGTCGTCGTCGTCATCGTCGTATTCGTCGTTTCGTCGTCGTCTCTGGTTCAAGAAGGCACTTGGTGCAACTTTGTGCGAAGCGATCTGCGGAGGGCCGCGAGAAGGCGATCAGTCATGTTCCCAGTTCACTTCACAGACAGCTCTCCTGTAGCATGATGGTACTCCGAAGCCTCCGGAGACTCGCGGGCCCATGATGAACCATGTCCCCGAAAGGCCTTCTGGGGACATGGTTTGTTGGGGTGTGTTGGGGGATCTCTTGGGCGTTCCCTGGGGGCCCCTTGGGGGCCTCCGGGAACTCTCGGGCCCATGATGAACCATGTCCCCGGAAGGTTTTCTGGGGGCATGATTTCTTGGGGTGTGTTGGGGGGCTTCTTGGGCGTTGCCTGGGAGCCCCTTGGGGGTCTCTTGGGGTTTCCTGGCGGCCTCTTGGGCGCCTCACGGGGCTTCGTGGGAGCCTCTTGGTGGCCTCGGGAGGCCTATAGGCGGCCTAGGGCCAGAGACCTCGAAATATCGGTTGGCGGTCCCCCTCTGGGCCCTCTCTTGGGGAGTTCTTGGGGCACAGTTGCGTTGTCTGGGGAGCCTCCTGGGCCGTCTTGGGGCCCTCCTCGGAGCCTCGTGGCCCGTCATGGAGCGATCTGAAGGGCCTCCGAGGCCGTGAGGGAGCGCTGGAAAGCGGGAAAAGCGAGAACGCCAAAATCCAAAACACTCGAAAAATGAATGAATCTTGCCTTCCGAGGCCTTCTTGGGGAGCCTCTTGAATCCGTCGTGGAGCGTGTTGGAGTCCTCGTCGGCTGTCTTGCGGGCATCTCGGGCGTCTTCGGGGCCTCGTGGGACCGTCTTGGGCCCTCTCGGGACCCCCTTAGCCTGTCGTGGCCTGCTTCGGGGCGGGCTCGGGCCGCCTCGGGGCCCCCCGCAACCCCTGGTGGGCGCCGATGGGGGGGACAGGCAGCGGCCCGCCCACCCCCCCGGGCCCACTCCGAGATAGAGAATCATGTTCCCGGGAAGCTCTCCGGGAGCATCATATTTGTTCGGCTCTCTTAAGAGGGGGGCCTCTGGGGGCTTACCGAGGGGCGCCTTTTGGCCTTGTCGGCAGGCCTATTGGAAACATGGTTGGGGCGGTGGGCGGAAGAATCATGTTCCCAGAAAGCTCTGGGAAATACGATTTACCGAAGTGTCTTAGGGGCCCGCAAGGGGCTTCCCTGGGGGGCCCTCGGGGGCCTATTGGGGCTTCCGGGGGGCCTCTTGGGAGCCTCACGGGGCTTCTTAGGAGCCTCTTGATGGCCTCCGGGGGCGTCCTAGGAGACTCTCAGGCCGGAGACCTTGAAATGTCGCGCTCTTCGGGCCCTCTTGGGTCGCTCCTGGGGCTCCCTTGGGGCGCTCTCGAGGCCCTCTTGACTTATCTGGGGAGCCTCCTGGGCCGCCTCTGGGCTTTCGGGGGAGCCTCTTCGGCCGTCCTGGAGCGATCTGACGGGCCTCTGACGCGGTCCGGGACCGTCGGGAGGTGGAACATGGGGGAGCGCAAAAATGCGTCAAAAACGATTGCGAAATTTATAATGTTCGGCTTCGGGGCGTTTTGGCGGCGTCGTCGGCCGTCCTGAGGCCATCTTCGGCGTGTCCGGGGCCTCTGGGGGCCGTCGCTGGGCGCCATGGGAACCTGGAAATCATGTTCCTGGAGAGGCTTCCGGGAACATGATGTCGAACGAAGCCCTCTTGGGCCTCCCTGAGGCCGTCCTGGGGGCCTCCTGGGCCGGCTTCGGGGCCTCTTGGGCCGTCTTGGGGGTTCCGTGAGCCCCGCTGGCCGACCCGTTTTAGCTGTCTTGGGGGTTCCGTGAGCCCCGCTGGCCGACCATTTTTAGCCGTTTCGGGCCCATTTTTCTCGGGAACAACTGCGGTTCGGCTGCCAATGCCGAAGGGCAGCGGCGGATGCAACGCAAACCGCGCCCCTCCTCCCCCCCCGTTGTCCTTCTCCTATCCCCCTCCTTCTCCGAAGCCCCTCCCTCGCAAAAACCTGCACTAGGTTAATGCAGGCGCGCGAGAGGCTGCTAGTGTCCTAAAGCTGCCGATGCCTGTTGCCACGGCGTCGCCTGCCATCGCTCGCAGCGTCGCACATGAAGTGTCACTCGCGCATCTTCTTTAGTGGGACACACGACACGACTGTGCTCTGACAGAAAACTGCAGCCTCAAGTCATGGTGAATTTATGACTAGCCTCAGCGGGATCACAGAAATCATGGTGTGGATTCCATAGAAGGCCGCTGCCATCGAAGTTACAGTTATTCAATGCCGAAGCACGTTGATGCCTTGGTATCGAAATCAGACTTCGGGAAACTTGAATACATACCAAATGCCTCCATGTGCAAATCGAACGATATGTTTCGCAACGTTTGCAACTGGTAAGCACTGAGGCATTCTCGTCCACGCGTTGAGGACACGGCTTGAACATTGTATGGTTTTAGAGCTGACCTTTGGAAATCAGCACAAGTCGTCCTAGCCTCAAGATCATCGCAAGCAATATCTGCCATCAACGAAGGTCCCAATGTGTGAACCTTGATGTCAGCGAAAACGGACGCGTATCGTTTGTAGACACTCGTCGTGAAGCTATTTACTTTAGATTCCATCATTTCATCGGTCAACCACGCCTCGAAAGATGTCCCGACACGGATCTGTCGATACACGCTTGCGACCCAATCGTAAAAGGGCCGGTAGACCATAACGATTATTGTCGTGAACGGGGCTAAGTCGGATGCGAGCTGCGACATGTCGTCGCCATATACATGGGCGAACGATTCACTTGACATCACTAGACGTTCGTTCGGTTGTACTGTTAGCAGCGCAAGAAACTCCTGCCACTTCGTACAAGACATTTCTGAATAATCATGTGCTTGTGCGACTTTCCCTATACTCCGGTAGCACGCCGCAACGTTGCTGATCAAAAATCGTCTGGCTTTGTCGAGCTGCGATGCGTTGACAACCGTCCAGCCGTCGAGACGCAACGAAGACTGTTGCTCACGCAACTCTTCTTGAACTGTTGTGGAACCTGTCTTGGGAGGACCCACATGAATACAATTATTGTCTTTTGGTAACCCCGTTCTCAGTCGTCACCAATGTCTGACCAAAGCACAGGTTGAGAACCGCACATACGATACTCCAATATTGAAGCAAGCCGCTTCAGGATGAAACAAACAAAGCACACACCCATGAGCGAACAGGAGTCAGATATTCGAGCTAAATTCCATGTTAACTCCACTGGCTTGAGTCAAAATGGCTACGGAAGCCGTCTTGGGCCCTCTTGGGTCTCTCTTGAGCTGTCTTGGGGTTCCGCGGGGGGCGTCTGGGGCACTGTGAAGACGAAGTCAGCGAGTATGCTGAAAATGCATGTTTTACGAAGGATATGGGCCGATGTTTGCCTCTTGAAGGCCCTCTCGGGGCCGTCTTCGGTCATCTTCAAGCCATCTCGGGCCCTCTGGGGTCTCGCTGAGGCTGTCTTGTGGGCCTCTTGGGCGTCCTCGGACAATGGAAATCATGTTCCCGGAGAGGCTTCCGGGAACATGATGTCGAACGAGGCCCTCTTGGGCCTCCCTGAGGCCGTCTTGGGGGCCTCCTGGGCCGGCTTCGGGGCCTCTTGGGCCGTCTCGGGGGGTTCCGTCAGCAACACAGGACGGCCCTTTGGGCCGTCTAAGGCCCTCTCGGGGCCGTCTTCGGTCATCTAAGCCATCTCGTCTGGGGCACGGGACCAAAGGTTCCGGGTGAGGCGGCCTGACGGGGACCGACGGCACCGAGGTTTGCCCCCCCCCCCCCCCCCCCCCCCACCCCACCCCCCCACCCCACCCACCGGCCGACTCCTATATATATACACATATATATATATGTGTATATATATATATCGTCGTCTTCGCAAACATTGGACAACACATGGTAAGAACGCGCTCGGTCCTGCCAAAGCTCCCTTCCAGGCACACCCCAGGCGGCCTCGTCGAACCGAACCCAGGCTTGGCGAGATGACCCGTGCGGCCCCGCAGTCGATGATGCATCCCAGTAGGCATCCATACTGACGCCATTGCACCGGCATCGCAGAGGGGCGCAGGGCCGACCCCCAGCGAGGGGGCGAAGGGACACGAGAAGCAGACACACACACACAATGTTTGCTTGCTGTCGAAGGCGGAGGAGGAGGACAATGATGACGAAGAGGATGAGAACGAAGACCATGCGATCTTCCACTCCCTGCTGTGCCTGGAAAACACAGCTGAGCCGAAAGCGTTCCCGCGCAGGGGTGATCTGGCACGACTCAGCCACTGGGGAACCCTGGGCCCCTCCCCTGCCAGCATTGCCTCGCCGACTGAAACATGCTGATCATGATCCCCACCGGCACGGTCTCCGGCGTGTGCTTCTGCTGCCCCAGGGGTGGCAGCTTTGCGTAGCCGAAGAGCCTCGGGGAAGACTGATACGGGCTCACCTGGAGGGAGGCAGAAAGGGGGGAGGAACGAGGGATGATTGAGGATGGAAGCGGGACAAGGGAAAGCGGGAGAGAGAGGAGGGACAATTGAGAAGGAAGAGGAGGAGGAGGAAGAGGAGGAGGACAGAGGATGGAGATGGGAAGCAGGACGGGTGGACGGGTGGGTGGAGGAGAAAAAAGACACGCAGGAGGGAGAAGGGAGGATCGAGGAGAGGTGATGGAGCTGGGGGAAGATGTTCCGATTCTGCAAAAGCCTTGAACTCGATAAAGACGGCTTAGCACATGGTATTGATGGATTCAACCAGCCATGTACGGCGTCGGTGCTTTAGGGCGTTTCCTCTCCCAACCGGGCCGGCTCCCAACCCCTCCCCGTGGGTCTGCATGGGCGGGCGACGGGGAGTTAGAGCGTCCAAGAAGGTCTCAACGAGAAGGCACGAAACATTGATTTGTCTTTGGTGTTTGGCTGATGTTGGCCTCCTCGGAGGATCCTAATTCGGGGCCCCGTCTTTGATCGATCGCCTCCCGGATTGCCCCAAAACAGCCAGAAAAACCTTCAGGAGAGCCCCTAAGAGGCCCCCCAAGAAGCCCCAACAGGCCCCCGAGAGACGCCCGAGAGACCCCAAGCGGCCCACCAAGAGCGGGCAATCCCAAGATGCCTCTAAGAGGCCCGCAAGAGACCCTTAAAGACACAAGGAGGCATCCCAGGGGCCTCTGGCCCACAAAGCCCCCAAAATCTCAGCATGATACCACGCTCCCCCGCTGGGCATCGTATCGGGACAGGATGGTGGGGATGCGCGAAGCGTGAACAAATCCTTCCTCTGTTATAGCCATAGCTGAGAGCTCTGGTTCACCAGTTGCACGTCTGGGCTGATGCTGCACTAATCTGGACAGAGGCCTGCGCGTTACTGTTAAACAAACAAATTGAGCATGGGGAGGGGGAGGGAAGAAGGGAGGATGATTGGAGGAGAACACGGGGGAGAGAGCAAGAGCCCCCCCCCAGAAACACCATCTGCGGCCGCATCATCGCTGCCATCTGAGAGCCGCAATTTCTATACCTCGGGCAACTTATCCACAAGCCAGGGACTGGGGCAGCAGTAGCGGCCAGGGGCAAGGGAAGACCACTCCCCATCTTATGATCCGTCATGTTCGACTGCTACATATTCCAACATCTATGCCAAAATCCTGCGCGGGACAAAGCGCGTGATGCGCCAAACGACGGTTCTCGCCAGTGTGCCGGCACATGTTTGACCGCTGCCACATGTCTGCACACCTGACTCAAAATTGACTCGCAAGCGCTCATCATGGGTACCACATCACAAACAACGTAAAGTTGCCTCAGTGTTGATTCCCATGGGGCTAAAACACGATTCATCTTGAGTCGCGCCCTATCGATTCGCCAATGAATCACGTACCCATCACGATTGATACACAATCAATGTGCAATTACCCACAAACTATCTACAGCGCGAACGCACGACACCAGGACACGGCACCGAGACGTCGCGACCCCAGCACACCACTGTGAAGTCGCGACATAACGACACGTCCCCACTACACCACGACACCGTGGCACCACCACATCATGAAACTGCGTCACTATGGCACGACACCACGACACCACGATACCACGACTGGGCGGCACTGTACCACGATACTGCGACACGGCACCACGACGCCAAGACACAGCGCAAGATCACCTGCCAACAGAGGAGGATTTGCTCTCAACGTGGCCTGTGGCACCCCAGCCACATGTGCGCTTCTTCGCAACCATTTGGCACGCACGACACGAATGTGAACATCGAACCTCGACTTCACAATTGGGGAAGCCTCACAAGAACTTTACACTGTGTTGGTCAGTGACCCGCGGCCAGTCCAAAGAGGTGAAGACAGAAGCTTCACACACCCGGCCTGCGACTATGACGCCAAGATTCGCTGGCGATCCACCAGCTCAATGTTTCGTCTGCTTTCGCCGCTGTTCTTGATATGGAGCAAACTCGTTCTCTGCATTGGTTCACTCCGTCTCGCGCATGCTCCCTCACTGCTCAACCTTATGTTCCCTGATGCCTCCCACCCTCTGCGACGAGTCGCACTGTCTCACTCGCAAAACAATCGAACAATTGCATCCTGCATGCCGACGGAGCCGTAGGGAAGCTGTGAGACGGCGGGTCTTATTTATTTGGTGTGCGCACACAAGGTTGGATGCGCAAATGCTACAAACTCAACTCCAGGTACAGAATTCGTGCGATTCACTGACAGGGAAACCCAGCATGCAAAATCATGATACGTCATCGAAAACTCCGAGGGCAAGGAAGCGGCACGGTGCCAAGACGTGGAATCGACTCATCTCCATGAGGCCAACAGTGGAGCCGACACTTGTAACAGGTGACCAGGTGCAAGGTAGTGTTAGGACAATAACCTCTGCGAAAACACATGGACGGTGTCACGGGACTTACGGGGCCAGAGATGACACTGCACATTGAACTCGCATCGACATGCTCCCCCCCTGCGTACCTAGCCCACCCTGAATAAATAGGGGGGCTGTGCAAGATGTCACTAGAGAGAGCCACAGAGGGCAAACACTTCAAGACATACGCGTACTGCCTTCTGGCCTTTGCAAGCACGAGGTGTGCGCAATCTATCCACATCCTGCCCTTTTCCCATACCCCACTGAATGCCCTCCTCCTTGCCTTCCTCCTCACCAAACTCATGCTCATCCTCCTCCTCCTTCTCCTCCTCCTCCTCCTCTTCCTTGACATACTGTTCATGTTTATAGTCTTTCTCCTTCCTCACGCTTCTGCTCCTGCTCCTCCTTGCATGCGCACCCCAGGAGGTCGGCCACCACCAAGACCCATCATGCCAGGCCTGGCGACGGGCATGCTAGAAACAACGCTAGCGGACGCTCCTCCTCAACCGTAGAGGCAAGGGTCCCGAAAAGGTTCTCGGGCAGGCAGGGCGGACACGAAGTTCGGCGGGTCACTGGGGAGGTAATTGAGAGGATTGGCTAAGCATGTTCTGAAGTTCAGAAGGCGTTCAGGGGGGCATTTCTCCTCCGTATGGCATCCTTAGCAGGCTCATTGCCGCATCCAATCGTCGCAGCCGCTTCATTACTTAGTCAAGGCACTCTTGGCGTGCACGGGTTCTGTCTCTATACGTCTGTATGTCCATCCGTTTGCCGTTTCGTAGGGCGCTCCCCCCTCCGAGCTCGTCGCCAGATTCCTCTGACCGCGTGTCCAATTCGCCACGGCTGCGTCCTGCCGCTGCGTTGACCGCGTCTTGGGCCCAGGCCGCCGCCGACAAAACAAGTCTTCTCGCGGGGCGTCCCTGCAAAGCCTCTCCAGTTGCAACTGCGCTTTCGCTTTTCGCACCCGCGCGCACGCCTGGAACAGAAAGTGCGGAGGGAAACGGATGGAGGGAGGCACATCAGAGAGTAGATGACAATACGGCTGGCATCGCAAAAATAGCATGCAACACCGATCCGCGGAAAGCACGCTATCCCCTCCAAAAAACGGCTTCCTCTGCGCACCATATCTCTGTGAGGCGATCCCCCTGCGAGGGCCATTTCTGTGCACACTATCCCCCCGCCAGGGCTCCTTCGGTGCACGCTATCCCAAATGTGGGGAATAGCGTGTAATAGGCGGGCCGGCGGCGTCACGTCGCAAGCTATCTTTGCAACGCCAACCGTAGAGCGGACAATTACATCCCTATGGGCCATGGGCTTGACGACTTGTCGCGCATCGACCAGTGGGGATCAAGATCCATACATCCAGGAAAGTCCAGATCGATCGAGGTGAATCCCGATAAGTCGAAGCGCATCCAGCTACATCGAGGTACATTCAGAGATCTCAGGGGACATCTGGAGCAAATCGTGGACGCTCCAGCGTGAGTCGAGGGACGGCAGAAGTCGTGAAGCCCTCAACGAGCATAGACCAGCGAAGGCGGAGAACGAACAAGCGAGCGAGCCGCCTGCGCCGCGCCGGGAGCGTGCCACCCCCGGGGGGAGGGCGGAGGGGGCTGCAGCCCACAGAAATGGGAGTGCTCGTCGTATGTAGAGAACATAAGCAACAGCACCCCGACAAGCAAAGCCGCTGAGTAAACGTGCCTAAGGAAGGAATCGAGCAGGGCAGGGCCGGTCGTAGTTTCGCAAACGCACCCTCAGAAATGGGAGTGCTCGTCGTTTCGTAGGTCACCCAATTTCTCGCATCGCGCCCCGCGATGCGAGACGCGCCCCTGTCTTCGCGCCCTCGCACCACCACGCCGCACCCCTGGAGGAGCCCAGGGGGTGGCTGGGTGTTCTCGGACGTGCCAGGGGGAAGCGAGATAGGGGCAGGGAAGTGGGAGGGGGCAAGCCTTCTCAGAAGGCGGCGGGGCGTATCAGAAGCCCCCGCGCCTTCTGGGGACGCCGCCTCTCTCTTCGGAGAACAATTGGAAAAGTGCTCAGAAGGCCCGAGGCCTCTCGAGCCTTCTGAGAAGGCCCGCCCCTTCTGCCTTCCCCCTTCGGCTCGCCGCCGAGTGTTCTTCCACACGCCAAATTAAGAATTGCTCTCCACAGATTTCCATGGCTGTGATGCAAATGACGAAAAGGCAGCACAACTGTTGGGACGATCTGTGGCCATGCTGGAACCACGAATGCTGAGAAGGTGTGGGAGGGGGAGGGTAGTAGAGAAGAGTGAGAGCGAGTGGGGAGACGAGAGCATGAAAGAGATGGGCAACTCGAGAGAGGTCTTATCGGAAAGCGTTCTCTTCCTCCTGCCCCAGCCCCTCCCCCCAGGCATTATCGGGAGGTACCGAAGGGTATCGCCTCTGGAGGCCCCAAGCGCCCCCGGATGCCTCCGCAAGCCCCGAGAGGCCCAGAAGGGCCGAACACGTCCAGGATCATGGGTCTTGGATCCTCCCTCCCCCCTCTCGCGCCCAGGGGCGAAGATGCGGGCTCGCGCGGGGGGGAATTGGGGGGGGGAAACCTCGTGGGGAGGCCTGGACTGACCATCGCCACCTCCTGCAAGGCCCCACCTCACGCACGCACAGGAGGAAAGGATGCGGCCGCGACCCTTCAAGCGCCACGGTCCAAACACCAACCAAGGAGGAGGGAAGCGAGGTGCGGGTGGGCCTAGACATCAGGCGTCCGAGAAATCTCGGCGGCCACTCTTACCGCCAATTTGGTCCCTTGGAGGCCGGCCTAAGTCCTGGGACCCATCGAAAGACGACTTAAGATGACGAGCCGGCCCGGGCAGGGAGGAGCTCGTCTCTTGCTCCGAATCGTGATGACGGATGTGACCGAGACGGTGGACGGCCGGGCCGATCACCTCACGACTGGGGGCGCGGCGCGGGTGCCAAGGTATGACTGCGAGCACCACGCTGCGCCCGTGGGCGCCACAACAGCCTGCAAACACCACAGTGGCCTGCGGGCACCGCAGCATGCCTGAAGACCTCACGCGGCAATGGCGACCACCAGACGTCGCTTGCCTGAGAGCACAACTCTCGGCGAGCCGAGCAGGACCCTGCCAGTACAGACACACCCCACGAACATCACAGCATGCCTGCGCGAGCACCAGAAATTCGCTCGTGCGCACCACGCTCGCCTTCGAGCGCGACCGCCGCGCGGCGAGGGAAACCCGACCCTGTCAGTACCACAACAGGCTGCGAACATCACGCGTATGTGCAACAGTATGGCTTGGTGCCGCAACAGCCGCACAGCCTGCGAGCAATATAATATTCCCGCGAAAACCGTCATTCTGCGAACACCGCGCGGCGATGGAAGCCAGACCCTGCCAAAGCCAGGATAGCTGTCCACACGACAGAAGGGAGAGCGAGAGGAGATCGGGACGGATGTGCGCACGAAAGCCAGCCTGTTGGCGTGGACGAAGCGGGCCCTGGCAGCAACGGGTCGTAGACCCAGGGGCTGTCTCGTGGAAGCAGCTTTCGAAGAGGGCGGGAAACCTCCAAGATTCCTTGTATCCCAAACCCCTTTTCCTCCATGGCCAAGACTTCCGGCGCGCCGCGGGGCCTGCCCGGCGGGATCGGCGGCATGCCCGCGCGCTGCATCCCCGGGATGTCCGTGAAGGCCCCCGGGACAGTCGCGGTCGGCCTCCCGCGCTGCCCCTCCTCGCCCTCCCCCTGCCCCTCGTCGCCGCGGGGGAAAGCTCGAGGCCACCGACACGATAGGCGCACTACTTCCCGCTGCTACCGAAAGCCCGTGAAAATGGCGATGAGGGTGTTGGCGGTACTGAAGAACAGAAGCCTCCCAAATGGTGTCCGAACGGATGGGGTCGGAGCATCGCGCCGCATCGCCGCCGCACCGCCGATGCATCGGACACGCTGGCGTGGAAAATATCGGGCTTCACATGGAGCCGCATCGCCGACACATCGGCGATGCGGCGCGATCCTCCGACCCCACCTGTTCCGACCCCGTCCATAGGAGGCCCAGGAAAAAAGAGGGGTGGGGAGTTCCAGGAACAGAACTCTCGTAGGGGAAGGGAGGGGGTACCGGAGCGTGGTGGAGGCGCGGTGGAGGCGCGGTGGACGCGCGGTAGAACATGCCAGGGCACGGTGGGGTGTGTAGGTGCGTTTCGGGCTAGAGGGGATAGGAGCTTGGGTCACGAGGGGTGGGGATGACGGGACGTGGTGGGAGCGTGGTGGGATCGAGCAGGCGTCGACTTCATAGTTGCGCCGCGAGCACGGAGGTCCATTATTGCTTTCCGCCAAATGACATCCAGACTGGCATCGCTGAAACTACGGGTTCCAGGAGGCAAGGCCGCTCTTTTTTCAGCATGCGCTCAACACAGTGGTCACGATTTCGTTAAAAGGAACAATTTCTTCAACGAGCTCTCGGATTTGGTGGACAAACCGTCGGCACACGGACCTCAACTCATTTTGGGAGATATGAACGCGAGGCTATACGAGCAATTTGCTGGCGAACCGAATGTAGTAAGACCGCATGTGATTGCATCCCCATGGCGTGGAGTGCAAGCCGGATGCCAACCGGCATCTGCTGGTGGAGGCGTGCACCCAGCTCGCCATGTGTGTGGCCAACACCTTCTACGAGCTACCGTTGGGTAGCTTCGCCACGTGCTACAACGTGGGCCGCCCAGCTGGGGAGAGCGTATCTTTATACACCCACTCGCAGATCGACTTCTTTGTGTGTGAGCAGAGCTGGTTGCACAACGTGAAGGCCGTGAGTTCCCACGCTCATGCGCCGCTGTCGTCTCACCATTTTCTGCTGAACGCCGTGCTCCAGGTGGTGAAGTGCCCAGTTGAACGAACTCTCCAGCGAGAGATGCGATCAGTACTAGAGCCTGGAGCGAAGCTTTCTTTCGGACATTGCTTCAGCGAAGCGATGGAGCAATCGGAGGTGAGGGGGTGAGATCGAAGTGGAACGGAGAGCCCCCCTACCGGGAAATCGATTTCGGTTTCGTGTTCGTGCGTGCCGTGCGTGCGGGCGAGGCGAAACTGCGTGGGCGGGCGAGAGAAAATCTCCTGTGGCTGAGGCGCGGCCGGACCAAATGTTTCCCTTCCGGGCGGCCGGTGGCGCGCGGTGTCCCGCCGGTGTCCCGCTGGTGTCCCGTCGGTTCTCCTGTGGCTGAGGCGCGGCCGGACCAAATGTTTCCCTTCCGGGCGGCCGGTGGCGCGCGGTGTCCCGCCGGTGTCCCGCTGGTGTCCTGTCGGTGTCCCGTCGGTGTCCCGATGATGATGTGGATGATTATGATGATGATGATGATGGTGATGATGATGATGGTGATGATGGCGATGATGATGATGATGATGATGATGATGATGATGATGATGATGATGATGATGATGTTGTTGAAGATGATGATGATGATGATGATGATGATGATGATGATGATGATGAGGATGATGAGGTCGATTGTGAGATCGATTGTGATATCGATAGTGAGACCGAATGTGAGATCGATTGTGAGATCGATAGTGAGATCGATTGTGAGATCGATAGTCAGATCGATTGTGAGATGACGATGGTGATGATGGTGATGATGGTAATGATGGTGATGATGGTGATGATGGTGATGATGATGACGATGATGATGATGATGAAGGCGTCGATAGTGAGATCGATAGTAAGACCGAATGTGAGACCGAATGTGAGATCGACTGTGAGATCGATTGTGAGATCGATTGTGAGATCGACAGTGAGACCGAATGTGAGACCGAATGTGAGATCGATTGTGAGATCGATTGTGAGATCGATAGTGATATCGATAGCGAGATCGATAGTGATATCGATAATGAGATCGAATGTGAGATCGATAGCGAGATCGATTGAGTGAGACGTTGGTTCCCCCTCCCCCCTCACCTCCTTATCACCCGCAGGGTGGTCGTATAGGTATGAGGACACAGCGCCTGATGAGGGAAACGCGAACATTGCGTGGTCTCGTCTCGTGGACAGCTCTCGGCGGGCAGAGGAATCCACAGTGCCCATCGAGCGCCATCGACCGAGACGCCCCTGGACGAGCAGTTGCACTCTCAGTTTGGTTTCAAGGAGAAAGGAGGCAAGGCGCCAAGGGGACGCATTGGAAAAACAGAAAATTGCAAAAATTATCCGAGCATCAGTCGCCCGTGACCAGGCGCATTGGGCACAGATCTGGAAGTTACGCAAGGGGCGAACACGACAACCTGGCAGACTACGGGACAGCAGCGGCGAACATGTGGACGGTGACAGGCGGGCAGACACCTTGGCTGAGTATCTGGAGCAACTCCAATGGGCGGTACGTCCGACCACGGTCCTCCCGAATAGCGAGAACATCCACCCGGAACTGCCTGTGAGGCTCGGCGCCATCATGGAGTCAGAAGTGCGGGAGGCCGCGCAGAAACTGAAGAACGATCGTGCAGCTGGACTGGATCATGTTCCGCAGGAGTTTTGGAAGGCCGTGACCGAAAATGGGGAGGCCGCGATTTTTTGGGTTACTCGATTTTGCAACGCTGTATGGTCACACACCCGCGTGCCCGAGGCGTGGCGGAAGGCCAAGGTTACGATGATTTACAAAAAGGCGACCCGTCGGGATGCGACAACTACAGGCCCATCAGCCTCCTGCCAATAGGATACAAAGTGTTCGCTATGATATTTTGGAGAGGTTGAAGCAAGATGGTGCTGAAGATCGCATCTGGCGCACCCAATTTGGCTTCAGATCTGGCCGTGGGACTGGCGACGCAAGAGTTTTGACCAGACGAATCCTCGAGGACGCTTGGGCGACGAAGCAAGGCTCGTCATTGCTACTCTCTCGGGATTGGGCAAAGACCTTCGACTCAGTGTCGCCTGGCGCCCTGGCAATCTCATTGCGGAGGTTTGGTTGCCCCTCGAAATTTGTCGCCATGATTCAATCGATGTACCACGATCGGTCGTTCGTCGTCTCCGACTCAGGCACCTTGTCGGTAGAACGGAACCAGCAATTTGGGATATGCCAGGGTTGTCCGCTATCACCGCTCCTTTTTACAATAGTAATGACAACGTTGTTAACAGACGCATACTCCATGTTCCAGGTGCGCATGCCGAGTGCTCCACAGCCGCGTTTTGTCGGGGAGTTGGTGTACGCTGACAATACTCTTCTGCTGGACGCCAACCCAAGCATCATCTAAGATCTGATGTCATGCATAGAAGAATGTAAACGACATTATGGACTGAGCTTGAATTGGCGCAAGGTTGAAGTGATGCGCGTTCGCACTGGAGCTCATCTAGTCAATGGCGCAGGTGAGGCGGTGAATGAAACCATTGGTATATTTAGGCGCGCTGCTGTCCGCAGATGGCCGGAGCGGCGCGGAGCTTAACCGCAGACGCGGTGCGGCCAGGCTAGACTTCAACGTCTTGAGCGCAATTTGGTCGCGTGCTGCATTGACCCGCTGCCATAAAGTGCGTATGTTTAACGCCTGCGTAGTTGCTAAATTAACATATGTTTTGTTTACTTTATGTTTGAATCAGGCGGAACGCCGGAGAATCGACGGATTTCAAGACCAATGTCTGCGGAGGATTTTCCGCGTGCCACATAATTTCGAATCGCAGTGTCTTGAGCATGGCGGAGCAGCGGCCTTTGAGCGAGCAAATTTACAAACAGCATATGCTTTTCATACGCAAGCTTGCGGGACATCCCAGCACAGACCCGGTGCGCATGTCCGTGTTTGAACCTGGCAATTCTGACATACGATCGCCATCAAGACCTCGGAAAAGAGGTCGGCCCCGACAGAACTGGGGCAACATGGTGATGAACAATTGTCTACGCGTAGCCGGCTCCGCCGCTCGCCTTGCTGATTACTTCCGCCCGGAGGGCGGTGCAACTCGAGCTTGGGCGTCGGCCGTGCGACTGTGGCAACAGTAATGCATTTTTCCCATCTCTGCTAGCGCACCGTCTGGTGCAAGGCTTCTGAATGACTGATTTTGGAAACATGAGACCACGAGACGTGTGAGGGGTGTGCCGACATGGGCGCGGTGGCGTCATGTGAACCCTGCCGCTGGGGCCTTCCGGCGGAGGGCCCGGCGGAGGGCCCTACGGGGCCGCGAAGCGTGAGGGGTGTGCCGAAATTTGTGTGGTGTCACCATGCGGAACCATGCGAACCCTGCCATTGGGGCCTTCGGCGGAGCTCGCTATGGGGCCGCGAAACGTGTGAGGAATGTGCTGACATGGGTGCGGTGGCGCCATGCGAACCCTGCCACTGGGGCCTTCGGCGGAGCTCCCTATAGGATCATGGAACGTGTGTGGGATGTACCGAAATGGGCGCGGTGGCGCCATGCGAACGCCGCCGCTTGGGCCTTCGAGGGAGTTCCCTATGGCCCTATGGGGCCACGAGACGTGTGAGGGGTGTGCCGACATGGGTACGGTGACATCATGCGAACCGTGCCGCTGGGGCATTCAGCGGAGCTCCCTATTGGGCCACGAAACGTGTGAGGGGTGTGCCGAAATTGACGGGGGGACGCATGGATGAAAATAATGAAAAAAATGGTATGATGATGGAGAAGGGAAAAGGGGGAGGAGGAGAGGAGGAAGGAGGAGGAAGGAAGAGGAGACGCGGGGCGCTCTCTCTTCAAAACGAGGACCCAACACCACAGCATGGTTGGGAAAGAACTCAGGACCCCTTTAG